TTGAGATGCTACATATGGTGTAATGAACATGGTGGTTTTTCACCATAAATTTAAATAAATAGCTATTCATTAAACGTACATATATGTGGGTGTGTAATTGTTTATTTTGTATAGATGAGTGACGTAAAATCATTCAACGTATTTCACCTAATGTAGCATCTATAAACTGTGAGACTTTGTGTGAAAAAAATGCGTCTATACATATGATGGTGTAGGATCTACACTATCAAGACCTCACTCCAAACCCTACTCCTTTTCGACCGTCGGAAGTCGCACCGGTAGCCGGATCTTGGACCGACGACGATGAGATGACGAACGGAAGTTAATAAATGAGAGAGAGTTTATGAGAGATGATAAAAGTATTCTTATTGATGTTCAAATCGTAACGCTAATAGGGTTTTGTTTTTTATCTTATATACAAGAGAGAAGGTCCTCTCTTGGGTATCAATTAAGATCCATCTACTGATTGATCCTAGTTTCTATATTACATAAAATTTATCTATGGTATTGATACGCTCGTCACAACGTTCTCACGGTGTTTTAACTAGGTCGCCAACTACCCGCTCGCCTCGCATTTATGGGTTCTAAGCGGGCCGTCCGGCTGATCGCAACGAGGAGGCTTTGTTCAGCCTAGTCACATATTTCTTATAATGAGGCCCATCAGACAAGGCCATGATGCTTGGGATGGATCATTCGCCTGGCTAATGGGCTCTTTTTCTGGGATAACACAAATGAGGTTCGTTTCACGACTTGTATGGGCCTAGCCCTTCTTCCTTTGTTGGGAGTATTCTCAGTATCTGGGTCGGGCTCCCTGTAATTGGGCTGTGTCTAGGGCTAACAGTTTTGTTGGTCAAGATAGCCCCCATCATCTACTCCCCCTATTCTTAAGTGAAGCAACCGAAGTGCTTCACAATAGAATAAGACGTGTCTGACATGTACCACGATTCCTCCTCGATTTGGCTTTCGCCCGGCAGGGGTTGGGCTCACCTTAATCGGGTTGTCTTTAGAGCTAACATACGTCGTTAGAGTTTCTTAGGTTGACCCTATTTTTCTTTTAAAGATTAATAAATTGAAAATACCAAATCTCACCAACTTTGATCCCAAAATTTTCAATTTTGGAATAAGTATTATGGTCCAATTTCTAAAAAAAAAATCAATTTATGAAGTTTTTAACATAAATTAAAAAAGGAAAAAAAACGGATGGCTCAGATGCGCTTATTTCGTCCAGAAAATCTGATCGAGTGGGCAACCCAATGTCCACGTGTAGCGCAGAAGAAATCATCACAGCAATCCTCACATTAAATGCACCAGCCGGGAATCGAACCCGGGTCTGTACCGTGGCAGGGTACTATTCTACCACTAGACCACTGGTGCTGATGTTCTTTGATATTGGATTTACCTTATTTATATATATATATATATATAAAACAAAACTCCCAATTGCGTACACCTGCAGCCAAGATGTTTGATGAAATTTCTATGTGAATAAAAGTTTCTCCGTTACCTAACTTTTTTGTGACATGAAAGATGGTCTTATCCGAACAATTTATTTTTCTTCACATTTATTTTTGGATCAAATTGTATTTATTTATCGAAATAATCAAATAATACATTCATATATTAGCCTCTTGTATTTGTTTTTGTCTAGATGAGAACTTTGGATTACCTTTGACTTTGGACTTTGGCATAATTGTTCGTTAATGATATGCCCCTATTGTCGTACGTCCCCCTAAAATTGTTGCAACTTTGACTTTGTTCGGGCTCACATATATAATATATATTTATAATGCACGGTTTGCTTTTTTTTTATAAATATTTTCACCAATTTTTATATAAATATAATTCAACTTTGTAGCATACATAATATAATATAATTCAATATAGATATTTAGAGTCGCAAGAGAGCACAAAATCAAAATACTCAAATGTTTTAGGTCAAGCTTGTCGCACACAACTTATACTTATTCTGGTTAACATCTCTCGTGTGGTTTGTAAGTTATTACAGAAAAATGGAAGTTTATCAGCAGCTGCATATATATATATAAAATTGAGTATTCATTATTCAATAAAAAAAAAAAGAAAAAAAAAAGAGAGAATTGAATAGAGAAATTTAAAATTAATTGAGTTGCAAGCAATGAAATTCTTGGGTTAATATAAATTGTTATTATCATTATCATCATCATCACAACGATGATAATTAAACAAAAAAAGAATATGACTCATAAATTAGAGATTGTTCAAAATGATACTTTGTTTCTTTATTTCTGAAACCCAAGAAACCGCGTTTTGAGATGCTACATATGAAGTAATGATTCACCATAAATTTAAATAAATAGTTGTCCATTAAGCACATATACATGTAGGTGTATGTGTGTTTTTGTGTAGATCATTGATGTAAATCGCTCGAAGTATTTTACCTAGTGTAACATCTAAAAAACCGTGAGACTGTGTGTGGAAAAAATGTGTCTATACATAATACATATAAAAAATTGAGATAATATTTACGGTTTAAAAATTAAAGAGTGAACTAATTACTAAAGAAGCTGTATAAATTATAACCCAATGTGATGAATTTAGAGAATTTTAACTAATAAAAACATCTAACTTAGCTATGAATCTAGACATTTATAACTAATAATACAAATATTTAATTCCCTTTCGAGCGAAAAATAACCCATTACTCGGACTTGTAACCAAAATTTCTCCAATTAACAATGAAGTGTACTCACGGCAAAGCATGAAGAGTGTAAACCGGAGTATTGTGGGATCGAATTCACTTAATATCTTAGAAGAAAAGTTTTGCTTGTAAGACCAAATCGATCTTGAACTGCAATTTTGCCACAATTGATTTCGAACCTCAGAATTAGTCGTAATAAATTTGGAAATTTAGATATTGCTTTTGCAAAAAAACAAAAAACAAAAAAAACAAAAAGCAAAGATAAAGAAGCACAAATTGAAGTGTGAACTTGTTGATTATTATTATTATTATTATTATTATTATTATTAATAAAGTTAGGTCAAATTATCAAATATACATAGTTCTTGGACAATTCAAAATAAATATTTGAAAGAATTGACTTTATAGTGCTAAATAGGAAGAAAATCACATTACTATATAAATCGAAATCCCTGTTTGTGTTGTATCACCAACTCACACTCACAACTATCTTCCTAAATTCCTCCTGCTTTCCTTTCTCACGGGGGAGCGCGCCCCCCTTCAAAACCAGAGGAGAGAGAGAGAAAAAGAAAGAGGAGAGAGAAAGTGAGGTCTGCGCAAGTTCCTGATACTTTTCTTGAGTGAGTACTCAAAAGCCCTCTCCTTTTCTAACTAATTCAATTATAAAAAAAATAAAAAAATAAAAGGAAATCCCCACCCCTTTAATTCATTTTCACTCTTTCTCCAGTTTAAGCAAAAATCATACAGAGAGAGAGAGAGAGAGAGAGAGAGAGAGAGAGAGAGAGAGAGAGAGAGAGAGAGAGAGAGAGAGAGAGAGGATTTTTTTATTTTTTATTTTTTATTTTTGTTTTTAGTTTTGTATTGTTGTTTTCTGTTTCATATGCCATAGAGTATTTGATATACAGTTTCGATTCCAGCTTTTCGTTCTGTCTGATCGGAGAGAGAAGAAAAGAGAGAGAGATGAAGAAGGAGGATCAATCGAGGTTTATATTTGGGATTTCTCTAACTGATCGCCCTATTTGGCAGCAATTCCTCATCTGTTCTTCCGGTTTCTTCTTCGGCTATCTCGTCAATGGTGTTTGCGAGGTTAATTAATTACTCTCCATACTTCTTCATCTTCGTCTCTCCCTTTCTCTGTGTGTGTGTGTGTGTGTGTGTGTTGGATTTCTGTTTTGTCTCTTTGAATTTGGGGGTTCAATTGATTTTGGATTTTTGATTATTGACTTGTTCTACTGTTTTGCTTCTTCTCTGATTGACATGAAAAATCGCTGGAAAAAACAACTGGTTTCCGGTTTTCGCGTTTCGATTTTTGGGATGCTACACACACCAACATGGATGTGTGTGTGTTTATGTGTGAATGAATAAACAGTGATGATAGTTAGGTAGTTAATTGGTCAGAGTTAGGCTTTAATTCTACATTTTAATTAACCTAAGATTTTTTTTTTTTTTTTTGGTATTTTGGGCAGTGGTTATTGTTTGATTGACTGTTTCTGCACTAACATTCCACACTCTTGCCTTTGATTATGGTGATCATGGTTTTTATTTATTTATTATTATTTTTAATTTTATGTTATTTGATGACTAGTATTGCAGCCCCTTTTTAATACCTTTTCGCTGATTTTGAGATTTTGAGATTTTGAGATTTAGCACGAGTCTCAGATCTGATTTAAGTTTTTTAAATCATTAAGTTGTCAAATTGCAGATTTTTTTAATTTTATTTTTCGATAAATAAATTGCAGAAGTTGACTGCTAACCATAAACTATAATATATTTTTTTTCCGAACTGCAGGAGTATGTATATAATCGCCTAAAATTCAGGTACACTCCATCCCCGAATTTTGACTTGTTCGAAAATTCAAAGTTTGCTTTGAACTTGCTCTAGTCGACCGTTCTTGAATTAAATATTCAATTGCAATTGCAATAAAATATTATTTTTAATGTTTGAAACGATGATGTTTTTTTTGGCAGCTACGGTTGGTACTTCACATTTGTACAAGGGTTCGTGTATTTAGTACTGATATACTTACAAGGCTTCACCACAAAGCAAATGGTGAACCCGTGGAAAACTTACGTCAAACTCTCGGCTGTCCTAATGGGTTCTCATGGATTAACGAAAGGCTCGTTGGCTTATCTTAATTACCCTGCACAAATCATGTTTAAGTCCACAAAGGTATATATATCCCACATTTAGAAAAAAACTGTAAATAAATTCAATTCTTGATATGTAATTTTTCTACGTTAGTAACTTCTGATTAGGTACCAGTTCAAAATTTGTCTTATGACCAATTTCAACGATCTTTTCGGTTGAAAGTTTCTTGCAAGTTGCAAAATATGTCAACTAATGTTTTTTTTTATCTTTTTATTTTTTTTATTTTAGGTACTGCCGGTAATGGTGATGGGTGCGTTTATACCCGGGTTGAGAAGGAAATATCCGATACATGAATATATATCCGCAATTCTGCTAGTTATTGGATTGATTCTTTTCACATTAGCAGATGCAAACACTTCGCCTAATTTCAGTGTTATTGGTGTTGTGATGATTGTGGGTGCTCTAGTTATGGACTCGTGGCTAGGTAATTTGCAGGAAGCTATTTTCACCATGAATCCCGAAACCACTCAGGTAAATATATATACATTTATATAAATATTTTCATGTTGTATAAAAAAATAGATATGAATTTGTTAATATTTTTTTTTTTATTTAACTTTTCTTTCGATTTTTTCATTAGATGGAGATGCTATTTTGCTCGACGGTGGTTGGCTTGCCTTTCCTTTTGCCTCCTATGATATTGACCGGGGAGTTATTCAAGGCGTGGAATTCTTGTTATGAGGTAAACGAACACTATTTTTCTATTCTTTTATATTATTATTATTATTATTATTATTATTATTATTATTATTACTAGCATTTTCTTCCCGTGCGATGCACGGAATCGGATTTTAAAAGTGAAAAAAATTGATCAATTTAACAAATCGAATTTTTATCTTTATTTATTACGATTTGAGATATACATATATTGATGAAAAATAGGAGATTGAAACTGGAATGATTATTCACGGTTCAGTGTTAATTTTGATAATTGTTGGAAATATAATTAAAAAATTAGTAAAAAAAATTTAAAAAACAAATAATTACAAAAAAGCCATAAGGTTTCTTAGGGTTGCTCAGCGTTTTTTTCTTTTATATATAAGATTAATAAATTAGTAAAAAAAATATTAAAAAATAAATAATTATAGAAATGCCATTAGGGTTTCTTAGGGTTGCCCAACGTTTCTTTCTTTTATATATAAGATTATTATTATTATTATTATTATTATTATTATTATTATTTTTATGTATACTAGTAAATAAGATTTAGGTAGTGTAAGTTGTAAGTACACATTGCATCTACATGATATTAAATGAAACGTCGACAGTTGCCTTTTGATCAGATGGGCCTCGTTTTAAACAATTGCATATCTTTTATAATAATAAAAAATAAAATAAATAGCATGATTTTCCATGTTTGGGGATGTAAACATGTTAGGTATTAATTAAGTAATAAAACCAAGTAGCCTTGCCATTTGCTGCACTGACATTTACACTAGTTAAAATTATTATCCAGCTGTCATTTTTCGTTTTTTTTTTGTTTTTGGGGTGGGGAATTTACGTGTATTATATCTTCTCTTCGCCTTTTGGCATTGCAGCATCCTTACGTTTACGGAGTGCTAGTCTTTGAAGCAATGGCTACATTTGTCGGTCAAGTCTCTGTTCTATCCCTCATTGCTATTTTTGGGGCTGCCACCACTGCTATGGTAATAATCTCTCCATTTAAAATAGAAAAAAAGAATCGACCCCAAGTATTCTTCAAACGATTTGATAGCAATTAATTATTATTTTTTAATTCCGATTATGTATACACAGATAACTACAGCAAGAAAGGCCGTGACGTTATTGCTGTCATATTTAATATTCACGAAGCCCCTAACAGAGCAACACGGTTCAGGGCTGCTCCTAATAGCCATGGGAATTGTACTGAAACTTGTTCCTGATAGTAAACCTCAAAATCGAGCTTCTTTAACTGATTCCACAAACAGAAATGGAAAAGCCCGTTTGGAAGAAATGAGGAAACGAAAGGAAGATGGACAAGTTGTCGAAGATGAAGAGAAACGACCCTTGGTGTAAACTTATATGAATGTTTTTTCGATTTTGTGTAGTTAGGCCACACATAAATCTTTTTTTAACTTATATTGAATGTGTTTTTTTTTTCTTTTGTAGCATAATTAACATTTTTTTTACAACGAGAAAACGATCGTGATGTAGACGACTCTACTGTGCAATCTTTTAACGGCAATAAAAGATTATATATATACGACATGCGATGCATTTTCAGTAAACTCTCCTTTTTTTTTCCGTTTTCCTTTTTGTCGCTTTAATGCTGAAACAATGCCGTAATAGGGGAAAATCTGTGCACCCGCCCCGTTTGTTTTCTTCGATTTACGGAATCTTCGAGCAGCTTGGATTAACCTTTTCTTTTCGACTAATTTTGTTTTCCTGCCCGGACTGTAAATCGGGACCAGGCTAGTATCACAACAAAAGGATGTCCTTTTTCTTTTTTTTTTTTTTTTTTTTTTTCTTTTT